AAGCACTTACGTCTTAGGAGGCACTTTTCTTATATTCCTGTCTAAGACCTCCTTATTGAAAAGTTTTACGGGAACAAAGAGACCATTTCCTCTAAATACTTTTGTGCATTTACTATATTGCCCATTGACTTTTACACACAGGTACCTAATGAGGGCTTGTCACTTGAGGGTTAATTAGATATTGTATAAGACTCTACTTTCTTAACTATGTGAACTGTGGATGTTGTAACCAGAGTTTGAAGCCTATCAGCCATTGCTCTGATTCACACTCTTCTACCGATGCAGATATTCTGAAAGGTTACAGAAAGAGAAGCCACTGGGGTGCCGAAAATGTGCTATGGGTTGGTGTGAGGAACTTTTCTTGAATATTTTAAAACACAGACATTGTGCCCCAATGTTCATTTGGTCTCTTATCCATTCAGTGAATGAAATATATGAAAAATCTTGAAAATTTCCTTTTATTCTTAAAATTATTTTTTTAGATTTTATTAACTTATTATTTTATGAGTATGTATGTCTGTGTACCGCATATATGCAATTGCCCACAGAAACCAAAAGAAAGCACTAGATTCTCTGGAGCTGCAGTTGCAAAGGTTGTAAGCTGTCACATGGGTGCTGGGAATTGAACCTGGGTCCTCTAGAAGAACAGCCAGTGCTCTTAACTGCTGAGCCATTTCTCTAGCTCTCCACTTCTTATACAATCTGTAGATTTATATATTGAGCTGAGAGATGGTTCAACTGCTGAAGGCTAGATTCACACCAACTGTCAGATACATATAGTATTAGTCAGTTTTCCTTAGACATTTTCTGTACTTAAATAAAATGTAAGCTAAAAATACTTCTTATTCTTTACACTGAAAAAAAAACTTTCCTGTGCCTGTATGAAGTTGCCACCTCAGTCTGTCTCTTACTCTCTAGTTTAAAAATTCCTTGTCCTGAGAAATACAGACCTTTTACTTATGGCTTCATATTTTACTATGCATCTGTTTTTACTTTACTCAAAGGCTTTCAGAGTAAATGCGCATGTCTGTGCCTAAATTTGGATAATATGTGTTTCTCATATATGTCCTCATCTTCATCCAGCTTCTTCCCCACTATTTTCCTTCACTCTGGATTGTCAAAGTTCTTCTTCCTTGAGTCTTGATTATACACTCTAGCTGTCTCTTCGCCTTTCTCCGTATCTTACAATGGAACCTCAGCCAGTGATTCTATGTTGAGTGAGAAAAGCCAAGGAGCATAGGACTTTTACATCTGACTGGTGTGTAGACAATATTCCATTTAGATTTTGCTTCCATGTCTTCCAAAAAGTAAATAAAATTGGCATGAGAAAATTAAGTGGGTGTTCTTAGATGGAATGGATGGAGCGAGGGTTCTGGAACTCTGCATTTGATGAGGTCAACCGAAGTGACCTGTGACTGTCAGTCACCTTTGTAGAACTGTGAAAGTATGGAGATGAGAAAACTCTAGTTTTCAACATTTTGAAGGTAATAAAGCCAGATGACTTAATCCCAGAGCAGTAAACATAACGTATCCATAAGGAAAGAAGCAATGAGGGGATGAGTTGGAAGTGGACGCTTGAGCGTGTAGAAAGCAAAGTACATGGTTTCTAGTACCAGCTCCGTTGAGACTGCCTTATCTAGTAGTCTGATCCTGTTTTCCCAAGTCAGAAAAATACTGTTAACATAGTTTATAGAGGAAAGCATTTGACAAGGGTCTTCAGGATACTTAGAATTATGCTAAAAATGTGGCCTGCAAGTCTTTGGTAACTATGTGTCCTTATTTAATGGCCTATTGAAAAACATTGTGCAATTACTACATGTTCATAGCAGATATTTATGGCAGCTAAGGAAAAATAATAACCTTTTGTGTGAGAGCACTTCTGTTATGTTAACTAGTGCTAACTAGTGCTTATTCCTTGCCTTTGTGCCTCAGATGCAGACTTAGAACTATATAGAATTTTTAATAAATGGGTTATTCTCTGTATGCTGTTAGTAACTCACTTCAATTCTGGTTCATGTTAAAAATAGTAGCATAGCAGTAGACTTATAGATTTATTTTATGTTACATACCTTATTTCGTCATATTTTATTTCATAATTTTAAAAACTGTCCAATTAAGCATGTAGGTACTTTTTCTGTCACATTGTAGTTGTGAGCTCTCTGACAATTGGTACCACAGTCTCCCTGCTTTTCAGAGCTGTGTGCACATCAGGGTCCCACTCAGTCCACATCTGTAAAGGGGTTTCGGTGATTGTCTGGTGCTTCATCTGATAGGACATCAGCTAGCATGGAACTGTCCTGCTCTTCTAGAATTGCCAAAGTTGGGACTGGAGCAAAGTTGTAAGCTGGGGTTTTGTGTTGCATATCTTTGTGTCATCTTGATAATCAGTGCTTGTTCTAGTCACTATCCTTGGCAGAGAAGATGACAGTTGTATGGTTTCCTGGGACTGACTGAACTAATATAAAAATTAAAGCACTTTGTTGGGGTACTATATGGATTTTGTTTTATTACTTGGTCTTTAAGCTAAGAGTGATCTGCCCTCAGCCGGCATTTAACCGACTTTCCATATTCATAAGCAAAAACTCTCAAATGGCAGCCTTTTCAAGTTTGTGTTACCACTTGAAAGACTTTTGTAAGTATTATGAAATAGCTTGGTCATAGAAGAGACACATAGGAATGCTGTTTATGTCACAGTTGCTGAGTGGTGTGCTCTGCTGTCTTTGAAGCGGCAGACACCCTTCACTCTGCTAATTGCCTCCCAGCTCACATCTTACCAACTCAATAAGGACATTCAAGTGTCCAGAGCAACTAGTCTCACTGCTTGCACTGCAGCAGAGTATAAGGGGAGAGTGAAGATGCTGAATCAGCTTTGGGTTTGACTCTGGGTCTGCTACTTGCTCACCGTGAACCATTGAGCAAGTTCATCTCTACTTCAGTCTTCTCACATAATGAGATAATGAAATTACACGCCTGTTGTTAATGCTATATGCATAGCGTTTTGAATGGTGACTGACACGTGGTATTAGCAATTGTGTCTATCGTTGTTGTCATTTACTATTACCATAATCTAAGTCGAATAATTTCTGTGATATACCTCAGTTTATAGAACTGATCTGATGAAAAGCCTCTAGAATTCTCCAGATAATCCAGAACAAAACCCCAAGTCCTCATGTTGTGACCTAGTCAGTTTCCTGGCCTCTTCCTGGGGCCGCTCACCTTCTTGGGCCTTTGTTCAGAGAGAGGGTCTTGCTCTTTCTGTCAGTCTTCTCTGCACCATCCCACTCCCAGTTTTTAAATTGTTTTTAACACTTTAATTTCCCTGTTTTTCTCTTTTGTTTGAATTGGATAGGGTGGATTAGGTTGGAATGCTGATGATGGAATCCAGGCCTTATACATGCCAAGTGCTCTGGCACATCCATTTGTCTGTGTCATGTGACTTGGCAGCCTTCACCCTCCAAGCCCTTCCCCAGACCCTGCGTGTTTCTGATGCATGCAGTGTATTTAAAACATGGTGATACACGTTCTCCCTTCCAAGCACAGCATTGCATTGTTCTTAAAATATCCTCAAGAAGTGGATCTAAAACTGTTTTGTAGCAATTAAAACTTTCTATAAAGAAGCATGCAGTATGAGAATTCCCTCCACCCCCTAAACAAAACAAAGAAATAGCAAGACTGGTAGCTAGGACCATGTGAAAATATTACATCTCCATGTTCACAGCAACCCCATGTAGATCATAGTAAGTATCAGTTAGAGGGATCATTAGCATGATGAATATTGGAAGAAAGGAAACAGTCTTTTCTTCTCTTTTTTTTGGGGGGGGCAGGGGCAGGGTTTCTCTGTGAAACAGTCCTGGCTGTCCTGGAACTCACTCTGTAGACCAGGTTGGCCTCAAACTCACAGAGATCCGTCTGCCTATGCCTCCCAAGTACTAGGGTTAGAGATGTGTGTCACCTCTGCCTGGCAAAGCCTTATTTTCAAGTGACAAAAATACTGTTTTATAATAATGGATAAAATATTTTACAGTTCTTGCAAATTAAGTCTTTTTTTCATGGTAATTTGTATCAGTTTCATGGTAATCTGACAATGTTGTTATAGAGCATTTAAAGATACTTCTTGCTAACTAGCCATTTTATTGCATCTTCCTTCAGTTCCTTACAATTCTGTGTTAATTATTTAAGATATAAAACTAAAATGAGCAGGGAGATGGCTCTGTGGTTAAGTACACTGATTAAGAAGACCCTACATCAATTCTCAGTGCTCACAACCATTTGTAACGCCACTTCTAGGGCATCTGGTATTGCCTTCAGGGTTCCAGGCACCAGGCATGCAAGTGGTGCACATACATACATTCAGGCAAAACACACACAATTTTTTTTATTAAACAAATTACCTAATGTGGTTTTCATTCTTTCTAAAATTTCTTTTCTTGTCTTCACATTTTTAAGTAGTGCATTTTTAGTTTTCAATTGGACAGTATGTTTCTTTTAAGCAATACATTATACTGTGAAAAATACCCAAGATAATAATAATTTAGGGAGAACTTTGGGACCTCAGTAAGTTACCAAGTGACTTTTAGCTTTCAACTTTGGCAGATCTGCTTGAAGCTGAAAGAGAATACTGATTTCAAAACCATTTTAGTTGAGATGGGTTAAAGTGAAAGTAACATAATGTTAAGACTCAACCACTGTCCAGTTCTGTTAGGAATGAGAGTGTTAGATTTGCATAGAAAGTGTGTAACAGTGTGTCTTAAGAAAATAGAAGAATTAGATGTTAGACGGTTTGCCTATGAGGCAAAAGGCTGTCTCCACTTGCACAGTTAGTTATGTATTAGTGTCATTTTCTCTAAAAATTGCTTCCTGGTAATACCAACATTTTGCAGTATGAAAGTGTGTGTTTCTACATACACAAGGCAATCTGCAGTTGTTAATAATGTGTCTCTTAGACGAGATACTCATCATTCCTCTATTTGTTTTACTTATACATTTATCTTTCCTTTTAGGTAAGGAGGATGAATATCCAAAGAAACCCTTGGGGCAGCTTCCTCCTGAACTGAATTCCCCTTGTATTAATCAGTTGAGTAATGGACAAAGAAATGTTGGCAGGCCCAGCCTCCAAACAAGCAGCAGAAAAGAAAGTGGATCACCTCACAAGAAACATGAGCATTCCCCCACCCATCACAGCAGAACTGGTACCCCAGAAAGAGTCGGGCAACCAAGACACAAGTCAGTGGGTGAGGATAGTAAAAATCTGAAGCAAGAGGCAGATTTTCAGAGAAAGCCTTCATCGGGTCCACAGGATAGTTCCAGGCACTATAACCATGCAGCTGCTAACCAAAATAGCAATGCAATTTCAAACATCAGAAAGGAATTTATGCCCAAATGGAAAAAACCGTCAGATGCCTCAGCATTTGAAAGAACTGCTAAATATGCCATTGAAGGCAAAAGTCACTCAGTGTATCCCACTCCTGCGGTTGCCATCCCAAGTTCTGCTGAGACCCGAATGTCAAACTCAAGGCAAAAGATGAAGGTTTTTGATGGCAGCGATGGGAAGCGGGGCTCTAACGCTTCACAGTATGACAACGTGCCTGGGAGTGAAAATGAAAATGGAGCATCTGTGGAAGAGACCCCAGAACGGACTCACCCTCACACTCCAAGGAAGCACACTGAGACAGGTTCCAGCCCATCAAAAGTACCCAACAAGTTTACTTTTAAAGGGCAGCCTCCCAGCCATGTAAGATACCCGTCCCAGTTAGAAGGAGAGGATCACAGGGCTGGGTATCCACCCTCCTACAGCAACCCCCCTGTTTACCATGGAAATTCTCCAAAACACATCCCTGTTGCCCACAGCAGCTTTGTGTCCCCACAGATCAGCCCTGGGACTCAAATTAATCCTTCCAGGAGACCATATGGTTCTTCTCTTTCAGTTGATATTTCTCCAGAGAAATCTTATAGCCGCCCAACTCCTGTTGTTCTGCCATCTAGTCGAATTGAAGTTCTTCCCATTGACATTGGTGCCGGGGGATATGCAGGCAGTTCAGGGTCACCAAAGAATGGAAAGTTCATCCTTCCTCCAGTGGATTATTTACCAGAGAACAGAAAATGGTCAGAAGTTAGTTATTCATACAGACCTGAGATGCATGGACAATCATGGACTCGAGATGCTAGCCGTAGCCACTTAAGCAATTTACCAAAATACGCAGCCTTTCAACACGTACATTTTCAGGACCACGGCCTTCCAGAAGTGTCTGTAGACAGTCCAGTGAGGTATAAAATTTCATCAGCTGTGGAAGATGCCAGTCCTCCTGGTTATCAATATACAGGTCCCTCACCTGCAGCACATCACTACAGAAATAGAGAGGGACTTTCTACTCAGGAATCAGTATTGCTGTGAGAGTTTGGCTGTATTCCCTGAAGACAAAAGAATAGAAACCATATGTAACCACATTGCTATGTTTATAATTGCCAAAGCAGTATTTTCTACTATTGTAAAGATAACTCATGCAGTTCCATTGTGTGTCAGTAAAAGGCTGTGTGGAAATGCTTCATCCCCACGTAGATGCTGCTGAAGATGAGTGTTCAGTTGCATTGTCACCAAAACTTTAATAGGAGAGGAACCTGGAAACATAGCAATAGCATTTAGGGATGCACACACAGTGAGGTTCTTTTTTTTTTTGGTTTTTCGAGACAGGGTTTCTCTGTGGCTTTGGAGGCTGTCTTGGAACTAGCTCTTATAGACCAGGCTGGCCTCGAACTCACAGAGATCCGCCTGCCTCTGCCTCCCAAGTGCTGGGATTAAAGGTGTGCGCCACCAACGTCCAGCCACAGTGAGGTTCTTTATGTTGTTTATTCGTGTCTTCCTTCAGACCTGGATGTTTTCACTCTGTGATACATCTGCTCTGACTTCTGTTAGAAAGCACTGAGACATCATAGAGACGATGTTCTGAAGGCTGTCCCTCATTTTTTAATAGATGTGACAAGCACCCCTGCATACAGATTTTGATCACAGAACTTAGAAATGCTTTTTAAAACTACATTTAATCTAGATCCATGAAATAATCATGTTTTTTCCCCGCCTTATCTTTCTGCCCTCCCTGCCCTTGTTATACTTTAACTTAGGTTCTAAACTGAAACTGATTTAAAAAATTTGTCCTGACTTTATGCATCCTACATCTCACAGAATGGCATTCTCCTTCAGTTACTGCCATTTTATCTCTACCTGAAAATTAAAGACACTGGGGAGAAAGGCTAACCACTTAATGGTGCTTAAAATATGGGTCAGTTAGCTTGAGTGTGTGACTGTGACACAGTACTGTCTGTGTCCTCTTCCCTCCAGCGTCTCAGTGCCCTGTGCCCTTGGCTCGGGTCTGGCCCTTGCACAGCATTGGCCTGCTCCTTGCCAGGTGCAAGGGGCTGGCCGCAGGAGGAGTTGGAAGTCACAGACCTTGCAATACTCTGGGCAGTGGAAGGTTGCTTTTCAAGTTCACTTGAAAGCAGCATTAACCATAATGCTCCTCCGCTCTCCACTTCAGTTTCGCAGGGCCCCAGGGGAACCATTCCCATGGCCCTTTTCTGCCACTCGGTCTTTACTGAGTACTGTGGATGGATAGCGCTACACTTACTGGGCCATTACATTATCCTCGTAATTATTAATAAGCATCTAGAATTTTGATTTTTATAAAAATACATAGTATGTTTCATAGTTTTTGAGAATTTTTTCAATGAAAAAATTATTGAGGTTCATGGTTTTAAAAAAATTAAAATATGCTATCATACACTACTGTTACCAAGACTCTGACAAAATACTGGGTTCTCTAAGAGAGAGTGTCTCTGTCTGTGTGAATGTCCATCCCATAGTTATCTTCTTGTATCTGAATATCAGAAAGTAGAAAGTCAAACAGTGATGGTCCCCCTCCTGCACGATGGGGATTTAAGCATTTAAGGTACAAGAATATGTGTTAAGGTGAAAGTATCATTTGTTTAGCTAGCGAACGTGACAATATTTTGTATGTATATAATGATTCTAATGTAATTTAATCAACGTGGTAATGATGCTAGGTGTGGAAACAAATGCAGTATATTAAAGGTGAACGCCACACTGAAATTCCAACTCCTGATAACATAACCAGGCTCTTGATTTAGATCATGTGGAAGGTGAGAAATAAATGTATGTAGAAATGTAGTTGAGGATATTAATGACAGTTCTTAAAGTATGACTCTGTGACTTATAAGGACCAAGCTGTACAATTTAGTTTGTGATGGCAGTATCTGTGCCTCTCCAGAAAGTATATATCATAGTCATATAAATAATGTAGATTATATATATATGCAATATATATATATATACACATACTATTTTCTTATGTCATTTATGGCATTTTTATCTGTATACTTTTTGATGTGATTGTTTTTAACATGTTAAAAGTAATACACATATTTTGTTCTGTGTCTTCTATGTGCAGTTTTCACGTGGCAGGTGCTTTGTCCTGGTGTTTGCAGGGCCAAGCAGATGTCTTCTGTGCTTACCCACAGCATTTTACATTTGCTGCAGTTCTCTGCTCTCAGCTCCAGGGAGACCATGTTTAGACCCACAGCACCTTTCCTTGGTTTAAGTATTACTAATGGCAGCAAGGCCTTCCGCTCTAGGAAATGTGTCTTTGTTAGTTTTTAAGTAGAAAATTTTAATTTAAAATTATTTTGCCACTATACAATTTTATTATTTTAAATTTATTTTTAAATAAAAGAAATGATAAGAGAAATAATATTGGCAAAGTGAATCAAAATATATGTATAAAATACATTTGCTGAAGACATTCTAGGTATAGCAGCCATGTAACTGCATGCCCATAGTGTGTGTGCCATTGTTAAGTCTTCCTTCATGTTACCTTGCCCAGCAGGATGAGTGAGCATTTGGTTCCCCAAGAATGAGTTCTCCTGATCTTTAGACTTAGCTAGTGAGCTTCAGTTTTTGGTTTTGCTTTTGTTTTTTTCTGCTCAAGTCTTACCCCAGACCGCTTAAATCATATCTTAGGTAGAACCCAGGTATCAGATAACTGTGTTTCCCTCGTGTCTTAATGCTTTTATCTTAAAACTCTCTTTAAGAAAAATGCCCACCAAGTTGTCTTATGTTTCCATTGTGGGATATTGTGGTTTATTGTTATTTTTGTTTTTGAAGACAGTCTTGCTATGCATTCTGTTTGACCTGAAACTTCTTTGTGTACCAGGCTAACCTTGAAACGGAGGTCATCTTCCTGCATTAGCCTCCAAAGTGCTGAGATCACAGGCATGCACCTCCATCTTACTCAGCACAGGGCTTTTGTAGTGTGGGTGTTGTTTGAATGGTGGGGATTGAATGCATGGTCTCAAATGCAAACACTACTGGTGAACTAGCTTTTAAATTCTGTGAGGTCAGACATTTCAGAGTTTAACAAATGATGTCAGGAAAATTAGGAAAAAGTCCCCTGGCAGCAACATTATCAGCTGTTTGTAAATTTTATGAACTTCTAGTCACAACTGAATAGCTTCAAGGAAGGAGGGGTACGACCCTCTCCCTTCCTTCCTGACTGCTTACCCCACCTTTACAGTAGGGGCTGAAGACCGCCATTTTCTTTTAGTGGCCCACTTTTCAAAGCCCCAGCTGCTTAAAGATCAAAGCCATGAGAAAACCCAGGTCTAGCTTCATTTGACCAGTCAACATCGGAGCAGTAGAACTAAGGGACTGTATTTTGGACTTGAGAACATGAAAGGATTCTTTTGAGTGCACAGATAATCCTGAACAGTTGCCACCTAACAGTCTTACTAATTCTTCTAATGTGTGAGCATCCAATGTCTGTCTGCTTTCAGTTGTAATTTCAGTGTTTTCTGGGTTTGGGGTGTATATGTGGTTTTGTTGTTTTTAACTACAACTTCTTTTCTAGAACTGTTGCTGTTTTATTCTGCGTCATCAGAGTTATTTTCTTCAGACCCTGTTCCCTGAAACCTGCTCTACCACTGAAGGGGAGGAAGGGTCAGGGCTGGAGTGTTGGGGAGTTGGAGATTTGGGACCAGCATCCTATCATTCCATCAAAAGAATTCTTGAGTCTGTTTTAGTTCAGTGGCAACAACATCTGTTGTGACATGTGAGATTTGAGGATGGGGCTTGATAGTTATCATCATCTGATAGGCATGAGCTTATTCCAGAGAGAATTGGAACTTTGCCAGCATAAGGGAACAAAAGTCATCAGAGAGCACATGCCCTGGAGAAGATGGTTGAGCAAAGCAGTCACCCACATAGCAGAGTTATCTTTGAGAAATGGCCACAGTGTTCTGTGTGGGCTGGAGGCTCTTAGATCTACATGGTAGTCTGAGTTTCCTATTCAGTGATTGTGTGACATGGGACAATGCCCATTCCCTTTCCTGTCCTCACTGTCTTCGACTGCATCATATGGACATTTGGGAGGTATGGGTGGAAGAGAAGACAGCCATGATTTGATTATTTGAGTGTGACAGGAGTTAATAGTGATCGTGGTTTGAGTTTTCTGTCTGTGCCAGCTGCTATGCTAAGTCCTGCTAGAAGAAACTGATGTTGCAGTCCCTTCATGGAGCCTCCATTCTAACCTACTTCCTCACCCATGAAAAGAACTCTTGCTTTGTTTTGTTTTCCTATTTCCTAGGATTGAATTGATTGGTCTAAAGTGCTTGGTGCAGTGTCATAAACTAATACCATGTTGTTATCTGTGATTACATGCCACCATAGCACTAAACTTTAGTGGTCAGGAGGGATTTGACCTTGCTTCCATGGGGTTGAGAATCTAGCGAGAAGCCCAGGGATAAAGGCAGTCAACTTGCATGTGATGTAAGAGGAAAAACATGGTTGGGACATGAGATGGTGTCAGCCTCTCACTGATGGTGGTGGTATAAAATGCAGCAGGCATGCCCTTCGATGTTGGGCTGAAAAGTCTGTTTGAATTTGATCAGGAGGAGTGCTTGCTGACCTGCTGTCCTCCTAGAGCCACAGTCTTGGCAAGCACAAATGGGAGGCGGCAAGCCTCTTGTAGGGTTTGGATGAGACAAGATGGACAGCTACTGAAATGAAGGATGAGGTAAGCCAGGAGCAGAGGAGGAATGTACTGTGGCGAAAGACAATGGAGAGAGCTTTCTCTGTGGGTTGCCTTTTCTTCTGGTCCAGTTCCTTCTTGTACTCAGAAGTATTAAACACTGATTATTAAACCTTCTGTAATGCAGACTTGACTTTATTTGGAGGAAATCACCATCGGAACACAAAGCAGGCAGCCCGGAGCAGATTCTGTGCAAGCATCAACTTGGTAGAGCAGCTGTTTAAATGCTGCCACCACAAGTGGCCCACGAGGAGAGTGTGACAAGGAAAGGGCACACGTGCATGAGTGGGAGAGGGGGACTCGTCCCCACGCTAAATACAAGGCAGCAGCAAGCAATAACTCGCCAACAGCTGGGGCCTTCTTGAGGGAGTTATTGAGCTCTGCCACTGATCTGTGGCTTCACTGTTGGCAGGTGACTGAGCCCGTCTGGGACTCAGCTTTCAGATGTATGCACAGTGGCAAACAGAAAATGGGAGTCTGAACATAGTTCTTTCTGCTCCGTAGTCTGAGGGAGGGTGGCCCACTCTGGGCTGCTAGCCTCCTTTGCAGGGACCCTGAGTGTCAAGTGGTAGGCAGGCAGTGGTGAGTGGGAAGACCTTGTTTGGGGATCAGATAGGAGTGGGGAAGACATGTGTTTACCTACTTCTGTGGCGAGGGCCAAGGAGGAGTGGTACCTAGAGGCACGAGTGCCATAAAGTAGTCACCTTGGCCCAAAGGTGACTCTCAAGAGAAAAGATGGGACTTGAAGTGGCTGTGTGCTGGGAGTAGCCATGAGAACAGGCAGAGGAGACACTTAAGTCACGAGAGGCCAGGCAGCTATCGAGTGCTGATGTGGGTGAAAACGGCTGATGCTGAGAATGTAAAGACAGATTTACCGTAGCAACATGAATAATAGTGCCCGAGAATAGCACCATTAGCGTAGTTATCTTTAAGGAGTCTCAGGGGTCCTCTGCACTTGTCAGTTTGCTACAGTGGCATAGAGGCCGTTAAGTCTGGACAGTAGCTTGGATCTGGCACTTAGTAGTATGATTCTGGCAAACTACATTTCCTTTCATGGCCTCACTTTCCTCTGCTGCCAAATATATGTTAGGACAAATCAGGGAAGACCATGGGTCTCAACCTTAGCTGGAAACAGTCTTGGAGGGCTTCCACTGTCCAAGCCCCCCCCCTCCACTGAAGTCACAACCTCTGGGAGGAGGGTTCAGGAATTGACTTTTATTGGTTGGTTTGTTTTTAAATTAATCAGTGGTACAACACAGTATTTTGTGATTTAGTAATCTAGCCCATAAAACCTAAATTGTTCTTGTAATACAATTGTATGAAAATATTCTGCAGGAAACTGGAGAGACCCTTGGGCTTTGAACTCTTGGTGAGAAACCACAAATGCATGCCAGAGTTAACAAGAAAATAGTTTGGCCCTTGGTGAAAGAAAGATATCTCTCCCTTAGTTTCTTCTGCCTTCCATATCTTGCTTCTGTTAGTACCAGGGAGCCACCTTGTAATCCTGTTAGAGAGTTTTTATGTGGCGGTTTGGAGTGATAGTGCCGAGAACTGGAGCCTAGAAGCAAACTTGGGAGATTCTGCTTTCCTGTATCCTTGCTGGACTCGGGAGTAGAACAGGGAAGTGAGACCTGTATCACGTCAGAAGTCAAAGAATGAGAAAGGATGGATGTGCCGTTAGGAAAGGGACTATGTGACTGACAGTTAAAGGCAGTTTTTCCCACTTAGACTAGCACAATACTCCATGGAAAACGGGCCAGTAGTAGCAAAGGAAGATGGACCTACAAGGAATCATGTTACTAAACTTGACCCAAATCCCCATTTAACAAAGAACTGAAATCTCAGTGACTGACAACAGTGGCATTCCAAAAATGTGGACATTTGTAGCACCAGAATTTATATAGTGCACTATTAGGTCAAGCGACACATATTTCTTAAAGGATGTTTTGCAATGAAACAAAACAATAAGAACAGCCTGAATGTGGGTAGGCTGTTATGTCACTCTCCTACAAAGGAATAACTCCTGTTTTTAAAATGTGTAGATAGTTTTATATGTACTGATAGAAAAATATAACACAATTATTGTTGACTAATGCCACAGAAAGTACTCCTTGGCCCCTCATTGTTCTGCTAGGACAGTTTTGCTCAGAAACACGGTGTCAGAGATAAAGATGGGTTGGAGATGAGAGTGGTTTGGAGACTGAGCCATCAGGAGAATTCTGAGAAGTTGTAGTTGCAAAAACTTCAGGAGCAAACTGAAAAACTGTTAGAGTGAATGGACAGGACTTGAGAGGTAGTGAGGGGCAAAAGCTGAAACTGGGGGCCAGAGTGGTGTCTGGAGAGATGGCTCAGTGGTTAAGAGCACTTGCTGCTCTTCCAGAGGACCAGAGTTCAGTTCCCAGCACCCACATTGGTTAGTTCACAACCGAAACTGCAGTTTCACCTTTTAGCTTCTGAGGGTGCAGCAAGCACATGTGGAGGCACACACATAATACATCTTAAGGGGAAAAAACCTTTAAGCTTGCTTTGCTTTTAGCATGTTAGAAAGTGATGACCCATGACTAATATGTTGAAAAACATAATAGTGATTGCAATGATTTAAAGGCAGATACCTCAAAAATATGAAGACCTTAAAACATAGAGTGTCTCAGACCATATGCTTCTCTTCATGCTATATAAGTCAATGCTGGGCTCCTAAATGAGTGTGTGTCTTGGTACTGGATAATATAATGGAAACGTAGTTATAGGAAATTAAATTCTTTAGACAAACCAGATGCTAAGCTTCTGCCCAGAATCAATATGCTGCCTGAAGTCCTGGAGACTAATTAACATACCATCGCTACTAATTTATGGGTAGGTTTTTGGAAGTAACCAGAAAAGGAATCCAGGTTTAAAACCACTTTTGAAACTCCAGATGAAGTGTGTGAGTTTAATCAGAGCCCTGAAAAGGGAAGTGTGACAATCTGGTGTGATCTATGAGTTATGTCTGAAATAAGCTAAGACGTTCAGGCAGTGAGAGCTGAAGCTGATGGAAGAGATTGTGACCACTGTAAAAAAAAATCTGAGCTGGGCGGACGCCTTTAATCCCAGCACTCGGGAGGCAGAGGCAGGCGGATCTCTGTGAGTTCGAGGCCGGGCTGGACCTGCAACCTCCAAAACAATACAGAGAAACCCTGTCTCGAAAAACCAAAAAAAAAAAAAAAAATCTGGAAGTTCTTTTAAGATAAAGTTTGATGATGGGCATCAGGGTTAGTCATTTCACATGAGGACAAAGAAACCATAAAGAACCTGGCCCAACCCAGAAAATGCCCCACAGCTCAAAAACTGCTGGAGGACTCTCAAGACACCTCAGGCCACACCCGTGCCACAAGGCTCAGTTCTGTCTCACTGGTTTCAAGCTAAATGGTCCTCAAAATGTGACCATTACTGATGTGTGTGTGCACACATTTGTGGGAGTGGGGTTCAGGCATGCTTGTGGAAGTCAGGACAACTTTCCCTTCACTAGGCAAGCCAGACTAGTTGGCCCATGTACTCTGGAGATTGCCCTCCCTCAGCCACCCATCTCTGTCCAGTGGCCTGCTGGGATTTCTGGTGCTTGCGCTACTACATTCAGCTCTTATGTGGGTTGTGGGGATAGGAACACAGGTAATCAGGATTGTACAGCCAGTGCGTTTATCCACTAGGCTATTTCTGCAGCCCAGCTCCAGGACTGTCCAGGAGCCATGCCTCACCATTCTCAACTGACCAGACAGAAGCCTCTTAGAAATGAAGGACTTACTAGGGCTTATAGTTTGTGAGGGTGTGGCCGTCACGGTGGGGAAGGAGTGGCAGAGGTCATGGCAGTGGAAGCATGTGGCTGGGACTCCTGGCACCTCAGGGGACCAGGAAACAGATCTCTGGGCTGTGTGCCTGCCTTCCTGTGACCCATTTCCTCCCGTTAGACCTTGCCTCCTGAATGTTCTTTAACCTCCTATGACAGCACTGTCAGCTGAGAACCAAATGTTCAAACATCAGCCCACAGGAGACATTTCTCATTCGAACTACAGACCAGCTCCTGCTTCTTCTCTATGCAGATTTAAAAGAGTGACTATTTAACATGCCTCTGCCCCAAGCCTAAGTAAGACCAGAAGCCAGATAATGTAAAACCAGCCAGCAATATTCTAGAAGTGGTATTTTGTTCTAGTTATTAAGACTGGAAAATGCTCAACTAAACTCGGGGCTCAGTGGCATGGCTGTAGATTGGCTTGTGACCAAGCCATTCCCCAGGCTCAGAGCCTCCTGAGGACGAAGCATCTCTTCAGAAGGCAGTTAGGAAAGTTATTGAGGGAACAGTGTAAACCGCTGCCTTTTGAGGATTCTTGGGGCGGCTTCCAGGAAGTGCAGGTAGTGTGTGTTGACATTTTCTCAATGCACCATTTTCCTTCCTAGCTTGCATATGGATAGGGTAAATTATTAAAGCAGGAGTTTCTGGGTGGACAGCACCCACGCTGTTTACTTCTCTGTGTATTTCCACAGGAAAGGGAGATAATGAAATTTAGCTTAACCAAGCTGTGGGTTGGAAGTTATAACCTACCTAATTCCTTAATTAAGCTATCAATTAAGCCTGTGTCTGTGCCACCTGCTATGCCTGGGCCTCGTGCCATGTAGAAGTGCCAGCACTGACAAGTTTGTCCCCACAGAACCCCGGGGCTCCAGTCAATCTTCAGTCTTTCTCTCGCGACTTTCTCTTAAGGGATATTTCAGATAGGTCACCTAATTCATTCATAATGCATGTGAGGTTAGAGAATGTTCAAGACAACCAGCAGGCTTGAGGACTCCCAGCTTCCCCAAAGGGAGCATTTTGTGTTGACTGTACAGCAGCCAGCCACCTTTTTTGCCCCAAGTGTCCCAAGTTTCAATTCCGCAGGGCAGTGCTAGGTCAAGGGCTTGAGAAGAAAGAAATGAAGTGAAAGATGGGGAAAGGCATTGCAAATTGATTTTTGACACCTAGATGAGTGTTCAGTAGAATTTGTTGAATGAATGAATGCATGCATGCATGAATAAAAACAAAAGAAAAAGCTATTATGTGTTAAGCATGGGTGCCACTAAATAGTTTTATAGGACTCATTTCAATTTAC